GGGGGGTATGCGATTTGGTGATCACATCTGTCGAGGGCAGGGACGCCAAAGCGGCACGGCATTTGAAAGTGTTCCCTCTTTGTCACGTTGAGACTAGATCCACATAGATTGGCTCTCACGAACGCACGGGATAGGAGGCGTAAGGAGAGATCAATCGACGATAGTAGGCTGTGGGTGTGTCACCTGAATGGTGGACAGTAGCAGCCACGCTATAGTTGTGACTATTGGGACCAATAGTCCCCCCATTTACGTTTGGTAATAGAGTGGAGTGGAAAGAAAAGAGGGAAGCGGGGAACGTTAAAAGGGGGGATAGGCGATTTGAATAGCGTTAACGCTCGACATCGAGCCGAAACCACACCGCCAAAACCCAAAAAGAAGGCAAATGATAAAATAGAGAAGAATAGAATGATAGAATGGAAAAGGAAAGAGCAGAGCAATAGAGACTGAACGGGACTACGCACCTCTTCCCAATCGTCGTCTCTAAACTCGGTAATCTTGTTCCTTCTCTGAATACCCGCAGCATGCACGACGATCCCAATCCTATCCACTTTTTGTTGGTCCCTCTTTAGAATTTCGAGTGCACGCGGGACGACCGTCCTAACGTGTTCCTTGTCGGAAATGTCGGCATATACGATCGAGTAGGGGAGCTGGAGGGACTGGAGAGTGCTAACGGTTTCGGAAGGAGAAGGTGGGGGTGGGAGGGATTGCAAGTCGGCAGAAGTGTAAGAGTTGGAAGTGGAGGGAGGTCGGAGGACGAGGATAACGTGTGCACCAGCTTGGGCGAGCGCGATCGCTATAGCCGATCCAATACCTACAAGTACATTAGCATCGAGTGTAACCCAGGGTTATGTAGAAGCGTGAGCAATAACCCAGGGCTTGGGTGGTTGAGAGAGGGGGACGTGTGGATGAGTGGGTGGAGGTGCGTGCTGACCTCTGTTCGCACCCGTAACGAGTGCCGCTTGGCCTTTGAGAGAGAACAAGTCGAGTACAGAGACGTTGGGTGTCTCGTCGAGCGAAGGAGTAGCCATGGGGGGGGGGGGGGGGGGGGGGGGGGGGAGAGGGGGGGGGGGGGGGGGGGGGGGGGGGGGGGGGGGGGGGGGGGGGGGGGGGGGGGGGGGGGGGGGGGGGGGGGGGGG